ACAAGTAGAGGCCAGGGCCCAAGGATCACATTGCAGGCCAGCTCTGCAATGTTCAGTCAGTCAGGGTCCAAGTACGGCCTCTAAGGTGGCTCAGAGGATTAGCCAATCTGGGTAGCTGCCTAACAAGCTCAGCAGTATAGTGCTGAATCTTGTTTGAATAAGAGATATCTTTTTTTTTATAAAATACGTAAAAAACATAGTTAAAATGGATAAAAGGATGTCCATCCTCCTAGGGCACTAGTAAACACCTGAGGCATGATAGGAGTGGCAGGAGTTATAATTGGCTGGTCAACAGCTTTTTTTTTATTTTATTTCCTGTGACCAATTCCTCCTGTAGGCAGCAGTATAGCCCAATTGTCTCAGATCATTCCTGATCCTGTGTCCCTTAATAGATAATAAAGAAAAGCATTTTATTGCCTTGTATTCAGCAGCTCTTAATCTCATGGATGATAAAGCATATGTTCAAGCACTGGAAAGTCTAAGACTAGGTTTACAAAATCACCTACAACAGCTGCCTCAGCTGTATATATGACACATACAGTATGGATTTAACTAGAACTGCTAAATTTCAGGATTTACAGTCTCCTGCATGTCGCAAATGCTGAAATGATATGATACACATTCAATATGATGTTGGTCCATAGTCTAGAGCTATTGGCACCAGATTATCAAATTATTTATTTCTATGATAAAACGTAAAGTTCCTGTCACTTTGTATCCCAAACTAGACATCTAGTAATGTCTTTGATTTGTACTTCTAAACAGGTTTTAAGTTATAATAAAGTCTGTAAGTAACTGGTTTAAAGCTGAACTTCATGATTTCTGTCACGAAAGCAATGCATTTAATTTTTTTTTCTTTATTAAACAAAGCCTTACTTTTTGAGTAATGAATCATTCTTTTTTTCATAAGAAGTCATTAGCTGCTTCCTAAACATCTACATTTCCTTGGCGCCGGGTGGAGGATCTGTGCAGGTGCTGCACCATGGAAGTTCTCCAGTGTGGTCGGCATTTATGGGTGGAACTCAGGGCTGTTGCATGCTTTCTGGGAAATGCCCACACATTGCAATGCATGGATGTGGGCAGGATGCAACCAGGTACAGTGCAATCATACATGCCCACAGTAACACATCACCACCAACCTTTCACTACAGTACACAGAGGAAGATGCGTGACCAGGAGCCATTTTTCCATTATAAAAAAGCGGCGTCTAGTCGCACAAACAGGAAGAAGGCAGGCAGGCATGAAAAGGCAAGTTTGGGGGACATGAAACGAGGGAAGAAGGGAATTCAAATAGAAAATGTTTTGGAAGAAGATAAGTAGATACCTTGTTAATTATACAATATTCCTCCTGGTTGGAGTTCAGCTTTAAATCTGGGCCAGAATTCAGATATCCAGGTTTCAGTTTAGTTATCCAGTACCATACTATGAAATCTTTACTAACAAGCTAACTTATCTGAGAATAACTAGTGGTAACCACCAATAGGCCTAAGTAACTTGGTGCTCCTAACACATGTAAAATCTAATTTATTCACTTGCGCCTCATGTATTTTACAGCTGGAAAGGATTCTGTACTCAGCAGAAAAAGGGGGACCATCACTTTGTGTTTTATGTGTACAAAAGAGGAGATCTGTGCAATAAAAGCAATAGAGAAACATGACTCATTCATGTACAGTATGTGTGTGGTAGAAGACTGTAATATTAAAAGTCTGGGTCACTGGCACTATTGCACACAAGAGGGCTCTAATCTACATGTTAAACAAGCAATAAATAACTAACAGATGCTTGTTTCTAATGTCATTGTTGATCACAGAGACTTTCAAGAACACGTTATTTATTTCTGGGGTTTTTTCTTCTTACAATTAGTTCATTAAGATCAGAACTGGCAGTCAAAGATATAGTCGTTCCACAGCTCTGCTTTCCCATAACAAGAAGGTCACAGTCTCCTTTACAGATTACTCATAATATGAAATATAGAGTACAAATGTAAAGAATGCAGACGCTAGAATTTGGCATGCGTGCAACAACCTTCACAGAGGGTCAAGCTAAGAACATATTTCCACTGGGGTCCTGGTAAGATATAAGAAGCCTACAGATGATTCACCAGTGTCCACTCAAACTTTTAAGCGAAGGCTCACAAAGACATCTTCAACACAATGATGGTGAGAGTATAGCCGTGTTAAAGTGTTTGTAAACCCTAACAAAGAACTTCTTCAATTTGCTCCCTTTTGGTCCTTTAAATATACCAATAAAAGCATTTTGTTATATCTGTATATAAGGTCAAATAAAAATACCGGTTAACCATTAGGAATTCAAGCTGTCCTCTGCTCGCTGCGAGTTTTATCTTAAGGTGACACTAAACTCAGGAGTTAAATCTTAAAAATGCATTCAAGTACCTTAACTATTAACAAAAATGTATCTTTTTTGTGTATCACTCGGCTGTAGATCCTCAAATCATCTCTGAATTGGTGCTGACACTGTCCTTCCTTCAGTAGGGTGGCTACTTTTGTTCCCTATGGTCCCTGTGTGTGTTGTAAAGTAGCCACCACTCCGAGCTCATGATGGACTACAATCTCAAAACAAATTAGTAAACTAAACGTGAGATTGTAGTCCATCACGAGAGTGAGCTTGCAGCGGTGACAACCTTACAACACATTCAGGGACCATGGGAAACAAAAGTAGCCACCCTCCAGAAGGAAGGCGGGTGTCAGCACCATTCAGAGATGATTTGAGGATTCTCAGCTGAGTGATACACAAATAAGATACATTTTTGTTGATAGGGTATTTGAATGTATTTTTAAGATTTAACTTCTGAGTTTAGTTTCACTTTAAGAAAGTTAACTCAAAATCTCAAAGAGATTTAGGCCCAATTAATACCTGCAAATGGGGTCAATCTTATGAGTCCAAGAGATTAATGTGATCTCCTGTGGGCAGGAGGCACTGTATAATCCAATTACAACTGCCAGAGTTTGTTTGCAGGCTGTTTACAAGTAATCACACAGCCTGCAATTACCTGCGGATGACTGCAACTGGATGCACATGGTATGCGTTCGGGTGCAATTGTCCACAGGAAAGCCATCCCTGGATTATACAACACCTTCTGTCCGCAGGAGATCACACGAGTCGCATTGAGAAATTTGGGATACTTATGCAATTGGTCCCATTCACAGGTGTTCTCATCTTGGACTAAAAGTTCATTACACCCTATGCTGTGGATAAGAAGAAAGTAGAAGTGGTTGAGTGAGATGTGTAGGAGAAAAGTTAAGTGAAAGGGTTAACTAAACTGGATCAGCAGCTGGATAAAGTGAATGGTTGGTGATTGGTAAGAATTGTGGGAATACGGACACAATTTATACTTGTTTTTGATGCTGAAAACACTCCCCCTCCAACAACTGCACCAGTGTCAAAAAACAATGTACCACACTGAAATATACTGAACACTAAAATGTGAAACTGCTAAGGGCTTCATCTACTGAAAGGGCCGGTCCAACTCTCCATACTTCTATTTTTGTTAGAATCCGGAGAGTCGACAAGAACAACTACCAGAACTATGCAGGGTAAAGATATGGTTTGACTCAGTCCTCCACAACGGAAAGTACTTTTTCCTACTTGTAACATATTTACTTGAATAAAAATATCCAAAATGAATGTGAAGGTTGTGATCTACTTGGCAGGCATTCCTGACCACTTCCAAGTTCCCCATTCCTCCCAAATTGCTGCAGAGCAGTAGATTTTGGTGTCACATTTCTGCCACAGACTCAAGTTGTCACAAGACCTGGTAGGAATTGGTGTGGGGTAAGGTGAATATTGGTAAAATAGATAGAGGTTGTAACCCTTCCCCATGCTACTACACAGGACATTAAATATAAATTCAGTTCTGTCCTCAGGTTCCACATAAACAACCTTTCATTCTGGCACAAGCTGGTTCTCAATATTGTGATCCAACAAAAGATGTCTACTTATTTCGCTGTCCTTGTCTCACAGGGGCATGTGGATTTAATTGGGCAGAGATTTGGTTCTAAACTGATGTTTGCAGTTATGCTGAATACCCTGGCAGTCATGGTCGTATAAGAATTTCAAATAGAATTCTCACAGGAACACGAGTAAGCCAATTGTATAACTAGAGAAATTTGTGCATGACAGACTACTCCGAAATGTTCAAATTGCTAGTGTCTCTTTCTAACCCTTTGACTGCCAAGGGTGTATACTATATGCCATGGCAATCAAAGAGCTACAAAAAGCCTGTTTGAAAATCACGCTCACTTTTCTCTGTTTAGAAGAAGAGATTCAAGAGGCTATAAATCACTTCTACATGCCAGCATATGTTTCCTCCTTCCCCCTAGTGGTCCCTGGGCTCACCAGGCTCCTCTGTCAGCATTGCCCCCTTGCAGCTGCACCCAGTATGGAGGGTAATGAAACAGTGAACGCCTATTCATTGATCTCCCCTTTGAATCAACCCAGAAGAACTTCTGGAATCAGACCTTCAGCACACTGGCACTGGCCAGTTAACGCTTAGATCTAGGAATTGTGGCTGGGGGCAGTTGACGCATCAGGGGGTGTAAAAAAAATATTGCAAGAGTTTTAGCCTTTTTCTATGTATAGGCTGCAATTACAGATGCACATTTTGGCAGCCATGCTTAGTCATTATATGACTTTCCAGTCACTATGTGTACAAAACACGCTGTGCTTTACTGCACCTTCTCACAGCGAGTCTAGCCGAGTATGTGCATGTGTGCGCGTCTGTCTGCCCTGACACCGTGTGTGCGCGTGTGTCTGCCCTGACACCGTGTGTGCCTGCCCTGACACCGTGTGTGCGCGCGTGTATGCCCTGACACCGTGGTACAGGCACAAGAAGCCACCAGTGGAAATGCTCTGCTTATAAAGCATTACGATTTTATGTAACTGGTTTCTATAGGACATGCCACACATTTATCTTATTAAATAAAAGCCAAAATCTTTTGGTACATAAAACTGCAACCAGTATTATTCTATTATTATTTTACCTGAGGCGCATCTCTCAAGAAATCCGGAAGTTGAAATTCACCTTTAAAAACCTAAAAGACAAAATGAAACATAAAAGTATTCATGAGTACAAAACTAATATCGACAAAACTCAAAAGTGGCATATCAAGTTATTTTATTTAAACATGCTGAATCAAAAAGTGTGCTGGATAAGAAGATCTGCAAGCATAATAGAAAAAAATGAAGCAGCACCAGTGCACATAGTAGCACCCACTACATTAAATATTGTAATATTACACATAAAAAGATACAATGAACATAACTTCCTTTGAGAGGAGGAAAGAAGTGGGTTACACTTACTTAAAGGAGAACTATGAGGTGAGTGATTTCCCCTCATCCTCATAGTTAGAGCCGACCTGTAACAAAGAAACTGTCACAGGTTGGCTCTATTGATCGGGAAGTGAGCAAATACATACCATCGCTCGCTCATTTTACGATCATCTCCCTGCAGAGAGCGTAGACTATGAGTCACCGCTCCCCGCAGGGATACCCCCCTCCCCTTCTCCAGTGGGAGGGGGTGGGCACAACTGGCTCTACCTCTAGATAGCTCGCTGTCAGGATCCATCCCAGCTGCGGAGCTCTCAGTATATCGCGGGCTATAGCCCACGATATACTGAGCTTTGGGACATTGGAGAAGGTTAGTATATGTCCTCCTGTGAACCTAAAGAGAACTATTGGGGCAAAAAAACAAACACTTACTCCATAATTCTCTTTTAATTCCAGAAAAAGAAGATTATATAGCACTCTAGTAAATAAGAAAACTGTAACTTACAACAGTTTATGCCACAAAAGGGGACTTAAAATTGTTCATGATGTACAGAGCTTCCAAATTATGTAAGAAAGTGTAGCTTCTATCAACTGGAAACATCCAATTTAAATTCTTAAGCCACTGAGGTCTGCAAAGATGGAGCACGAGTATGTCATAAAGTATGCCAATTTGACATGCCTACCCTTTATGTATGTGTCCATGATAAGGATAACAGAATGTGTGTTCCTTTAGTGGTAACAACTTCGAATGTTGCTACTTTCTCTTTAAAGTCTTTGCATAATATGTCCATTCTTTATAAATCAACGTACAAAATAAAAAACAAACAGTGCTAGTCCTCTAAGCTATATAATCCAGGCAGCACCTGTCCTGCTGACAACAAAAGATAAATCCGATTACCTTGAGTGTGATGAATACATACATTATGTGGACAACCTTGTCGCTGTGGCCTATTTCAGCCAATAAATCCTGGACAGCTTGGCAGCAGGCCAGCAGCCCAAGAACATTTGCGGCAGCAGAGAAAAGAAAAATATAATGAGAAGACGGGGAAATAGGGAGGGAGCGTGTTCCGTAACAATGTGTTTTACACAGCAGAACAATAAAACTAAACTGCATAACGCTAGCAACTGGAACACCTTTCCATTAAAAAGGTTTCAAAAGTAAAAGCTGCACATAAAAGGACTAGCACTTCCTGTGGCCTCCATAAAAAGTGACATTTCTGCATATTTCACTCGAAAAGCTGAACAACAGGAAAGCAATAGAAGCAAAGGAGAATAAGGTAAAACAAAAAAAAACCCCACATATTACACACGTTATTTGGGTGACCTTTTTTGGTGATATAAGTCATTTCAGGGAGGTGCCCTCTGTCAATCCCCCATCTGTTCGTGGGATGGGGGGGTTGGTGCAAGGAAAAATAATGGCAGATATCAAAAAAGCTAATGCTTTCTTTGCCATCTGCTGGGTTTTTTAGTGTTCCGACAGCTGCTGCCATCAGGGAAAAAAAAACAAAAAACCCCGGCATAGGAACTAATAGCTAGATTGCTATTGGTCGTTTCAATTTGCAATAGCCAATAGCAAGCTGGCTATTGCCCCCGCCCTCTGCTGCTGTCAGTCAGCAGAGGTGGACCTGATGGAGAAGTTCAGGTCCACCTCTGCTGATTGACAGCAGTAGTGGGTGGGTGCAATAGCTAGTCTGCTATTGGCTATTGCACATTTAAATAGCCAACAGCAATCTAGCTATTATTTCCAATGACGGGTTTTTTGTTTTTTTTCTGACTGCCGGCGGCCCCGATATCTCAAAAAAAAAAAAAAAGACAGCACGGAAAGGTTTACTCTGCTAGATCCAGCAGAGTAAACCTTTCCAGGACAAAATGTTTCTCTCCCGGGTGTCCG